ACTTGACCTACAGCTATGGATGCAGTAGCTCAAAAGAGGGAACAAATCTTTACAGCAAGGATCATTCCCACCCCCTCAATACACAGAGTAGACAAGGATGGGCAACTTTGACATTGGCTACACAAAATGGGGGGACCTACAAAGGCAAGAGGTGACTGGCTTACAAGATTTCAAGAGGGAACCTAGATCCAGAGGGTGTGGAGAAAGGTAGAATCTCCACTGAGTAGTATCCAATCTGTCTAGGCGGGCCTGATGAAATGAAATGCGGCTAGGTCTCTTGTGATACAACAGTGAATAATTGTTATCAGGACTGATTGTGAGGGTTGGAAATGTGAAGGTAGACGTTTTATAGCAAGGAGGGGAGTGATTAACTTTGCAGTCGAGGAGTGGCGGTCCCTGGGACCATGAAGGGAGAAAAGCCGAGAGCGGAACCCTACCCAGAGAAGCAGTGATGCCTGAGATGGAGGCAGAGGCAAGGATGTGAAGAGATGGAGAAGCTGGGGACTTTAGACCCAGAGAGGGAGAGGGGCTGTGTGCTGATGACCGGAGGTGGAGTGGAACAGGGGGAACAGGCTTGTAGGGTATACCCTTTGGTTGGTTGATGATGCATGGAGGGGATTGTAACCATGGCAATGAAACGATATACGATAAAATGAATGTAAAACTAATATTCTCCCATGTAAACTATCACATAATTCACAATAAAACATTAAAAAGAAAGAAAATATGAGCAGGACTTCCAACAAGAAGGCCAACTACGCAGACACACTACATAGATCCTCTACACCAAAGGTACGAGACGCCAAATGAAACAGACACAGATGAAAATCCTGGAACTTCAGAGGAAAGGTTAGAGAAGTGGACTGAGTGCTGTTGGGAGAAGCTGGACAGGGGCAGTGAGAAAAGGAGACTGACTGGTGAATGGCCAGTCAGATGCAGAACAAGCATCTTGAACTTTTGTGAGCAGCTTTGGTGACAGAAGGTGGCCTGGCAGAGCAGATTCACATGGGCGGCAGGCACAGTGCAATTCTTTCTTTTCCTCCATGCTTCCCTGGTGACCGGAGGTGTGGGCAGCTGCCACCCTCATCCACACCCCTAGTGTAGTTCAGAACCATGTGGTTGGAAGTGTAAGGTAGGGGTTGGGTGGGCTACTTCAGTGCCTGGATTCAGGTGGGTTTTACTCCAGAGCTACAGAACTTGCAGTCACCAGACCAGCATTAATTTAGCAGAAACCCACATAGCCAGCCACCTTGTTTCCAGCTACCCCGTGGTCCTAACAGACATGAAACCAGCTCCGTAAAGGACCTCCATGAACTACTCCTGAGCACAGATAACATTTAGGCCTATAGGAACTCCATCTAGGGCCAGAAACTCCGCTGTCACATCCTTCCTGATGCACCCACTTCATGAGCTCCTTGGCCAAAAGGAGACCCCAGAGTTTTCTGTTGTTTCTGTTGTTTTTCCGTTCATTGTTTTTGGTTAAGATAGAATAATGTAGATACAGAACTTCCAAATGGCAAGGAAGTCAAGTAGATTTAAACATAAAACTATTTTAAACAGGGCAAAAAATAATAAATTACTGGGTAACCTCAGAGAAAATTAATACACCTTCACATCAAAATACAAAAGGGATAAATCAGAAAGATTTTGTAAACCTTAGCACAACAGAGACCTGGTGTGGTGCTGTAGGATCACTACTGGACTGTGAATCACAAGTCGCTCCTTGGAAACCCTTAGCAGCCCTGGACTGCTAACTTACCAGTTGCACCTTGGAAAATTCTTACAGGGTCTTTATGAGTCAGAACTGCTTCAATGGCACTTACCAACTACAACAACAACACAACAGAAATGACAATGAAAAGAACAACCACAAAAAAAATGAACTCAGCACAGAAAATTCTGTTTTTTCATGAATGTTTTGAAGCCCCTTTGCATAGCTTACATTTAAGCTGGAATTTGAAGATGAAAGGAGTTAGTCTTCTTACAGAATCTTTAGATTCTGCACTTCCTCCATTGAAGACAAAGGAAGGAGAGTTTCCCTCATGACTGAAAGGATATATACTCAAATGTTGATGAGTCAAGATGTAGGGTTTTTTGGTTGTTTATTATAGCATTCTGCATTTTAGCAGCAAACGTTGAGCATGGCTAGAACATGGCTTAAGTGGGAGAGGCCAAGATGTAGGTGATGAACCTAGATCACAAAGGGCCTTACAAACTTGGCTAAGGAGTTGAATTTATTTTTTTTAATGTTTTATTGTGAATTATGTGATAGTTTACATGGAAGAACATTAGTATTACATTCATCCTGTCATATATTGTTTCATTGCCATGGTTACAATCCCCTCCATGCATCATCAACCAACCAAAGGGTATACACTACAAGCCTGCCTCCTGGTCATCAGCACACAGCCCCTCTCCCTCTCTATGTCTAAAGTCCCCAACTGCACCATCTCTCCACATCATCGTCTCTGCCTCCATCTCAGGCATCACTGTTTCAAGGAGTTGAATTTTATCCTGAGAAACACAGGAAGCCCTGCAATGGGTTTAGACAGGGGAGTCACCAGGTAAACTTGTTATTTACAAACTTCGCTTAGGCCACCAAGAATGGTAGGTCTCTTTTAATGGTGGATATGCAAGATGAAAGCAAACTGGGCTTGGGAATGGAGAGACAGAGATGGATTTGAGTGGCAGATCAGATGTAGAATTGATGGTGATTCATTAGATGTGGGTTTGAGTAGAAAAGGAAAAAGAAGGTCAAGGCCTTAAGTTCTGACTTTGACAGGCTGTGGATACTGGTGACCTTTATTGTAGTGGGTATTTTAGAATTAGAAATCAAGGAACCAAATATAGGAAGAGTTTCTGAGCTGGGGACTGAAGGAGAAGGTGAATGAAGCTGGTGTTCAGTTTCCTTCTTGATCTGATTTATTGTTTCATTTTCGTAGACACTCCCAACCTGAGTCAGCCTTCTCCAGATGATACCACTGGACCCTCTCCCCACTCCTCACACGACCCCACCCACCCGAGGCTTCCCAAACTCTTTAGCTACTCAAAGCAGACCTCTGGACAAAGTTCAAGATGCCAGTCATTTCAGAACTAGTAAATTAATCTGTCCTCCTCAAAGAGGGCTGGGTCTCTTCCCAGCCAGCAGAGAACTCTTTCTCCATTTGAAGTCCACTGGACTGTTAACCACAAGGTCAGCAGTTTGAATCTGCCAACCACTCCCCAGGAGGACAAGGAGACTTTCTACTTCCATTAAGATTTATAGCCTCAGAAACCCTACATAGGGTCATGATGAACTGGAATCCACTTGATGGTAGTGAGTTTGGTTTTTGTACAACAACATTAACATGTTCTCTCTCTCTCTCCTCTGTACACTGGAAACACGAGCACATCTTGGAGATACTATAGGTTTAGTTCCAGACCATTGCAATAAAGCGTATATCACAATAAACAAGTCACAAGAATTTCTTAGTTTCCCAGTGCATATAAAAATTATGTTTAGTCTAAGGAACTCTGATAGCGTAGTGGTTATGAGTCGGGCTGCGAACTTCAAGGTCAGCAAACCACCAGCTGTTCTGTGGGAGAAATTTGAGACTTTCTGATCCCGTAAAGATTTACAGCCTTGGAAACCCTATGCAGGGTTGTGTGAGTCAGAACCAACTCTACAGCACACCACCACCACCACCATACTGTAGTCTGTTAAGCATGACATAGCATTAGGAAGATATTTGAAATACTACGAGAACTACCAAAATATGATCCAGAGTGAGAACATGCTATTGGAAAAACTACTTCTGTAGACTTGTTCAATGCAGGATTCCCATTAACCTTGAATTTTTTTAAAAAAAGCACAATAAAATGAGGTATGCCTATAATTATTGCAAAATTATACTAAAAAAATAGCATGATCTGAGTCCCCTAAATTAAACCAAACACACAAAATACAAAGAAATCAACTCCTAGAAGGCTATGGTATTAGCATTCTTACATATGCCATTATATTCTTTGCCTCACTCCCTAGACAGGGATAGATGCTTGTGCTATTTATTTAATGCCTCTCCCCTCTTTCCCTTTTTGTAACATATATTATGACTTGTTAAACATCTGTCTTCTCCTCTCAACTCTGATCACCATGAGGCCAGGAGTCGCGTCTTTCTTATTCCTCACAGTATCCTCAGTGCCCAGTAGAATGACTGACACAGAGCACATACTAAACAAATAGGAACGTGCTTCCAAAAGTTCCTGGAAAAATGGGATTAAAAGATAATGGATCTTTATCACCACTACTGAAGCCCTCTTGTAGGCACTGAATTAAATCCTATGTATTTGGCTCCTTTATTAACATTTTCTTTTTTTAATCCCCTCTTGAATCATAGTCAAAAACACTACATAGACCAACTGGCAACCGGCAGAAGAAAAAGAGCGATTTAGCTCCTGAATTAGAATTTGGAGAGTGGTGTGTGTGTGTGTGTGTGTGTGTGTGTGTGTGTGCTGCTCAGAGAGGAAATGAAGCAAAGACAGGCTGAGGGTCCTCTTTATCACTTGTAGAGCACACCACTCCCTGGAAAGAAAAATCACGGACCTGCACTAAGAATGAGTACTAACTCAATGCCTTAGGATTATAATGGCCCAGGTGAAAAAATAAAATACAACGTGTCATTTGTTCTAACCAAAGCTGACATCCTAAAACCAAGTAGAACAGTGACTTCTTCTTAAAGAACAATCAGTTAAATTTTATGGGGAGAGTTTTGTAGGGATAGAACTATTATTTTTTTCCTCCAGGGCAGATAACATGGCCTTCAAGTTTAGAGTCTACCAGTCCCCAGGGAAAAGAGAGCATTTCTAGGTGTAGCTTTCTCCCTGTCTTTCAAAAGCCGCTGATTTGGACAGTCTAGAAAGTCTAGAAAGGAGGGCATGGTATTTCTATTAGCTTCCCTGCCTTGTGCTGCTATCTGCAAAATAGCCACCGTTTCTCATCTAAGCCATTAGGCTGAACTTACCCTCTGCTGCAGATGATTTCCAGGGCTTCTAAATTCCCGTGGTAGGCAGCCAGGTGTGTTGGTGTCATGCCATCGTCATCAGAAAGATTCAGATCTCGCTTGGTAGCCTCTTTCAGAAGCTCCAGGTAGCTATCACTAGCAGCTTGGTGGTAGCGGGTAGACATTTTTTCTGCTCACCAAAGCCTTGCCAAATAGCTCTCTCCCAGCAGAGCCGGATATTGGCCTAGCAGTCTTCCAACAGACCTGGTTAATGAATGACAAGGAAGAGTGACATCATAGGGCAAAGCTCATCCCAGCCTTGTTCCTTGGAAGGCAGCCAGAAAGGTATGCAGCACTGAACTTGGATCTTTTCCTTCTAGAACAACATTGCCATCGAAGACTGAGGTATGTAGGGCTCACTTTAAGTGTTTTGAGGCACATGTCATCTTAAATTTAAAAAATCCTACAAGCAAGTCTAGAATGTAATATTCGGCACACACATATCTAAGCAACAAGTGCAGAAAATAATTTCCACAAACTACAGGGCTAGTCTAGTTCACTGGCAAACTTTTTCTTTTTCTTTTTTTTCCTTTTTATTGTGAGTTGGGTGAAGGTTTACAAAGCAAATTAGTTTATCATTCAATTAATTCATATACATTCTGTTTCAAATTGCTGATTGTAATCTCCACATGGTAGTATCATTTATTCCACTTTCTCCCTGTGTTAACTGTCTCCATTCTTTCTTTCCAACCCTTCCTGCCTTCTGAACTTTGTCCTTGGACATTTGCTATTCTTGTGATTTTAAACGATTGTTCGAAGGAGGACGTACCTTCCTAATGTTGTTCACCTTACAGACTTCTGGACATTTTGGCTGAAAACTGAGTTACAGGGATCAGTTCAGTTCTGGGTCCAAAGGGTAACTAAGGGCCATAATCTCAGGTGTTCCACCAGTTAGTATGGTCTTTTGTTGTTGTTGTTCCATATTTTTCTCCTACTCTATCCAGAGTCTTTTAATGTGATCCCTTTCAGACAAGTCAGCAGTGGTAGCTGGGCACCATCTAGCTCTTCTGGTCTCAGCATTGTGAAGATTTACATGAACAATTAGACCACTGAACTAAATGTTTCCACATGTCTTTTATTTTCTTAACTCTTCTTTGCCCCAGACAGAAAGAGACCAATATTTGTATGTTAGATGGATGCTTATAGTTTTTAAGATCCACCATAGTGGTTACTACTTGGGCTGCTAAGCTCAAGGTCAGCAGTTCGAATCTATCAATTGCTCTGTGAGAGAAAGATGAGGCTTTCTGCTCCCATAAAGATTTCCAGCCTTGGAAACCCTATACAGGGTTGCTATGAGTCGGAACCAACTCCATGGCATGTAATCAATCAATTGGTAGTTACTCATCAAAGTAGGATTTACAACTTTGTCTTCAAGGACTATGTTTGGCAATTAACCTTAGTGTTCCCTGAAACCAGGTGCCACCGAGCCCAGTGACTCATGTGCTCAAGGTGTTTGGTCTTGGCTAAGAAATATTCATACCTTTGCCCCTTTATATTCTACCATATTCATAGGCATATTTGGTTACTTTTATTTTCAGTGTTATACTTGCTTCATAAAATGAATTCAAGAGTGTTCCATCTTGCTCTATATTCTGAAATAGTTTGAGTGAAATTGGTGCCAACTCTTCTCTGAATGTTTCATAGAATTCTCCAGTAAAGCTGTCCGGGACAGGACTTTTTGTGTTGGGAGGTTTTTAAGGAACTGATCAATTTCCTCTTTTAATGGGTCGGTTCAAATTTTCTGCCTCAGATTGTATTAGTTTGGTAGGTAATATGCTTCAAAACAAAATTGTCCAGTCCTTCTAAAAACAATAGAAAAATCAAACACATTGCCATGGGGTCAATTTGGACTCACAACCAACCCGTGTAGGGTTTCTGAGGCTATAAATCCGTAATGGATCAGAAAATCACGTCTTTCTCCCGTGGAGCAGCTGGTGGGTTTAGACTGCCAACCTTGTGGTTAGTAATCCAGTGCTTATCCTTACAGCACCACTAGGATTCCTGACATTCCTTCTAGGTTTTCAAATTTATTGGAGTACATTTCTTCATAGTACTCTGTGATTAAACTTATTTCAGTTGGTTCTGTTGTGATGTCACCCATACCATTTCTTATTCATGTTATTTGCATCTTCTTTTTTTTCCATTGTTGGATTTGTCAGTGGTTTGTGGATTTTATTAGTCCTTTCAAAAAGTCAACATCTAGTATTTCTATTGTTTTTATGTTTTCTTCCTATTGTTTTTCTATTTTCTGCTTTATTGATTTCTTCTCTAATCATTATTTAAGGAGCCCTGGAAGCAAAGTGGTTATGAGTTGGGCTGTTAACCTCAAGGTCAGCAGTTCTTAACTACCAGCTGTTTTGGGAGAGAAAGATGAGGCTTTCTTTTCCCATACAGATTTACAGCCTCAGAAACCTTGCATAGGCAGGGTCGCTATGTATAGGTTGCTAGGAATCAACTCCACAGCACATAACCACCACCACCAATCATTATTTATTTTCTTCTGGTGACTAAGGTTATTTTGTAGTTCATTTTCTCATCTTTGGAGAAGCTGGGCTCAAGTGTTCATTTTGGTTCTTTCTTCTTTTTTGAAATGTGTGTTTGTTGCTATAAATTGTCCTCTAAGCACTGCTTTTGCTGTGTCCCAAAGGTTTTGTCTGCTGTGGTTTTATTCTCATCTGGTCTAAGGAATTTTTTTACTTAAGTGTTTATTTCTTCTATTCCCCAATAGTTCTGAAACAGGGTGTTAGTCACGGCTATGTATTTTATTTTCTTCTTTGATCTTGCTATTGTTGATTTATAATTTTATAGTGTTTTGATCTGAGAAGATCTTTGTAGCATTTTGAAGTTTTGAATTTAATTGAGACTGGCTTGTGGCCTAGCAGATCGTCTATTCTGGAGAGTGTCCTACAATATAGTATATTGTGCTGTTGTTAGGCAGTAAGGTAGGCAGGCTGGTGGAAACAGACAGTGAGCACCCACCCTTCCCCCCAGAGTACATATCTTATTCCAAGGACAGGGTCCACATTCCAGAAACTAAGCAACAGATCACTTCAGCCCCTACATGATTATCTCAGCTAAACTTCTCCTGGCACAAACTCATCTCCGAGAAAATAACAAAGCCCCTAACGTAAAACTTACTTGTTTTGCTTCTGTGAACTCCCCACCTGTTTGCTGCTCCTGCTGAACCTAAGAAGTAGCAAATGCCAATTTCACTTACAGCAAGGATCATTCCCACCCCTTCCATACACAGAGTGGACAGGGATGGGCAACTTGGACATTGGCTACACAAACTGGGGGGAGGGGTGGTCTACAAAAGCAAGAAGTGACTGGCTTACAAGCTTTCAAGAGGGAACCTAGATTCAGAGGGTGTGAAGGAAGATAGAATCTCCACTGAGTAGTATCTGTCTAGGAGGGGATGATAAAATGAAATGCAGATGGGTCTCTTGTGATACAATATTGAATAATTGTTATCAAGACTGATTGTGAGGGTTGGAAATGTAAAGGTAGATGTTTTGTAGCAAGGAGGGGGGTGATTAACTTTTCATTCTAGGAGCGGAGGTCCCTGGAACCATCAAGGGAGAAGAGCAGAGAGCAGGACCCTACCCAGAGAAGCAGTGATGCCTGAGATGAAGGCAGAGATGATGGTGGAGAGATGGAGCTGTTGGGGACTTTAGACACAGAGAGGGAGAGGGGCTGTATGCTGAGGACCGGGGGACAAGCTTGTAGTGTATACCCTTTGGTTGGTTGATGATGCATGGAGGGATTGTAACCATGGCAATGATATGATAGGATGAATATAAAACTAATGTTCTCCCATGTAAATTATCACATAATTCACAATAAAACATTTTTTTAAAAAGTATCATCATGTCAGAAAAAAAAAAAAAAAAAGAAGCCAATTTCACACACCTCCCTTGCTCACTTTGTAATGCCCCAAAGACCCAAATACTATATAGATATGGATTCTTCCTGTAAACGGGGTTCAGTCTCTGGATCTGCTGAGCCACATGCTGGCACAATAAAGCCTTCCTTTGTTGTAACCTGCGTGGCATGGCCCATTCCTTCAGAGTGGCTCCGGTAACAGTAGTGTTCTGTATGTGTCTATGAGGTCAGGATAGATGATTGTGTTGTTTAGTTTTATGTATTTGTTGAGTTCCTCTCTAGTTATTCGGTCCTTCATTGAAAGTGGTACCTTAAAGCCTCTTACTTTGCTGTGGAGTTAGCTATTTCTCTCTTCTGTTTTGTGATAGTATGACTTATGCATTATGAGGCTCTTGCATTGGGTACACAGGTATAGCCTATGGCAATGATCTCTTGTTCAATTCAACTTTTAATCATTATATAATGCCCTGCCTTCTCTCTTATACTGGTTAAGTCTATTTTACCAGAGATTAATATAGTCATTCCTGCTATTTTTTGAATGTCATTTACTTGATATATTTTTCCATTCTCCTAAGTTCAGTCTGTTTTTGCCTTTATGTCTAAAGTTTGTCTCTTGTAGACACTATATTGATGGATACTATTTTCTTATCCAGTCTTCTTCTCTCTGTCCCTTGACTGGTTCATTGAATGTATTTACATTAAGTGTACTTATTGAGATGCTTATCTTTTTTATTCTTGTTATTTTGCTCGGAAACCCTGTACAGGGTTGCTATGAGTCCGATCTGACTCCATGGCACATAACCACTACCACCATTTTTCTGTGCGTGTCTTTTTTGGTGATACTAGTTTCTTTGTTCCATGTAATTTTCTGTGCTGAATTCATTTTGTTTGTGGGGTTTCTTTTATTTCTTTACTGTTGTTATTTATTTTGTTGTTGGTGGTAAAGTACCGTAAGTTGGTTCCAACTCTTACCGACCCTGTAAAGGGTTTCTGAGATACAGTTGGTGGGTTTGAACCACCAACCTTGTGGGTAGCAGTCCAGTGCTTATACTACTATGTCACACCAGGTAGTTATTTTGTTGTTGTTGTTGTTGTTGTTAGGTGCCATTGAGTTGGTACTGACTCATAGTGACTGTATGCACAAAAGAACAAAACACTGTCTGGGCCTGTGCCAACCTCACAATCGTTGCTACATTTGAGCTATCACTACTGCCACTGTGCCAATCTACCTCTTTTTCTCTGA